TTAACCCTTTGGGGACCGACTTTTTTTTTCAAGATAAAAACCATTTTCACTCAGAAATACGGCTATAGCTATAGGTTTTAGGCGGAGTTTTATCGCCAGAACTGAGTTTTATTGGAGGACTATTTATTTGAGAGTCAACAAAATAAACAAATACACTCCACAACATTGTTAAACAACTTCTCTGACATACGAGAAAAAACAGCTAATTCCAAAACTAGAAATGTAGTACCGTATGATATTTTTCAAAACAACTAACAACACAAAGACCCACGTCACAATCCCTACACATATAGCGAGAATCCGTTCTTTTTTTAGGTCTTCGACTAGTGTGTGCACATACAACACACTTTCTCTGAGGATTTTCTCTCTCTGTAGTTTGAGGTACCAGAGATGGAAAGTGTCTAGCAGTCAATCTGATGGGTTGATTGGTCAATGCAGGACGGCCTATCTTCGGTTTTGGAGCACTGTAGGTTTGCAAAATTTCACGAATAAGTTGTAAACGATAATCAGAAAGTTTGATTACTTTTCCGGTGTTGACTTTATAAAGCAAATATGAATTGAAAATCGACAAATCAAGCATGTGAAAAAATAATTTTCGATACCATTTCACAGTTTTTCTCAAACAATCGACGAAACTAATTTGCATATCAACTTTATCAATCACATGACTATTTAAATTATAATCTAATATTGAAACTGGTTTTTGAATTCTTGAATTATGTCTTTCGGTATATTTCATTTGAGGCTCATGAATGGTCGATAACATCATAACTTCTTTTTTATCATTCCATTTCAACACTAATAGGTTATTTGTATGCTTATAAATTTGTTGACCTTTTCCAATTTTTTCTTCGAGATCAGGCAAGTTCACTCTGTTCTTTCGAACGGTTCCGCAAGCTCCCGTTGATCTTTCAAATAATGTCTCAAAAAGACCAACACTTGTGTACCAGTTATCCACGAATAGATTATGGCCTTGATCTAAGTAAGGTTCTAACAATGTCATCACTATTGAACCAGAAATGCCCAAACGAGAAGTTTTCTTGATATCTGTAGTAGCACCTGTATAAACTATAAAGTCCAAGATAATTCCAGTGTGTACATCGCATAACAAAAATAGTTTGATTCCGAATCTGCTTCTTTTAGATGGAATGTATTGCTTGAAGCTAAGCCGACCTTTCCACAAGACTAGACTTTCATCAATGCATAAGTTTTGATAAGGAACTAAAATTTCACCGAACACATCACGTAGATGATTAATGATCGGCCTTATTTTGTATAAGCTATCATCAGTTGTTTGTTGTTCATTGTCATTGAAGTGAAGAAATCGTAAGAGTGAGAGAAATCGATTCCTACTCATGATACTTCCAAATATAGGTGTTGAGATCAATGATTCAGTGGACCAGTAATCTTTGATTCGACTTTTTTTGGTATGGGACATTAACATATAAAGTGCAAAAAAAGTATACATTTCAGATATATTCGTATCAATTCCTTGTAAACCTTTTTTAGATGAACTTTGCTTTTGCATGAGAGATACATTATATCTATTCGTTTCTTCGACGATTTTTTCCATCAAAGTGCTATCAAAAATCAAACGAAAATAATTCATTGGATTGCTTTCATCAATTTTAGGCAAGATAGAACTGATTCCAGAATCGTTTGAGTTAAATTTAAATAGTTTGGGTTTGAATTGACCACTTCTCCAAGTTCGCTCTACGTCAGATTCTTCCATATCTTGCATCTCTTCTTCGTCTTCACTTTCTTCTTCGTCGTCACCTTCTTCGTCACTATGTGATTCTTGGTTTTGGTGCTCTTGTTCACTAGACGATTCGGAGTTATCATCGGAAGAAGAATCAGTATTCGATGAGCCAGCTGTATAAATTTCAGTCATGTCTGAATCAGACCCAAGGAAAGACGCCATACCAATTCGAAAAAAAGTTTCGCAGTGAAATGAAAATTCCAGTACAGGTGTAAAATTATTTCAAACAGACTGAACGACGTCCTTGCACTATAGACTCTGGTTGTGCTCGAGACTTTTTTTTTATTGAAAAATACCCACTTTTCACGTTCCCATATGACCGAATCGTTACAAACTCAATGACACGTCCCGTAAAAACCAATGATAGTGTCTTCTGATAGGGGACGTAGCATGTAAATAAAAGAGGATGGAATACATTTATCTCTATGCACATATGTGCATTTATACACTGGAATGCACTGTAGATATACCAATTCGTAACGTCTGCGTATGTGCCCACGTATAAAGAAAAAAAATCTATACCAAAAACTTCATTTAAGCATATCTGAGAACTTATTTCCCAAGTGAGACGTCAAGGCCGTAAATATACGGCCACGGTCCCCAAAGGGTTAA